ATAATACGAACATGTTCTTGCATGAGGCCCAATGGTTTTCATTGAAAAGTGTTCCCTCACTGTGGACATGGTTACATACTTGTGTGCATCTTGACTTCTTAACTGCAGCTGTAAAGCATGATGATGCTGAAAACTGTCATGAAAACTGGATCGGCCCAATCACAGAAGGTCAAAAAACRGAAAGACAAACAGAAAAGATGAATATTTTTCTAAAATCCTGCAGATCTCTTGAACAGTCAAACGTTAAAACTGTGGCGAAATTACCGTCTCTTTTCCTGACTTCGTGGTGTTTATAAAAATACAACCCTGCCTCTTCCTCATCTTTCKTTGTGAATAAGAATGCTGCTCACATGACGAGACATTTGTTAGCAATTTGAGGCTAAAGCTGCATTACTGTATGAAGTGTACACCCCCTATGAACAGAACCGTGCACAGATTTCTGACAGACACACAGGATACGACTCGCAGACCCCTCTCGATGGGGTCAGTCAGCAGGAGGCCTCGTGGTGCATAAATTTTGTCATTCTGTTCCTGGATGTATTTTGCGATCTTCTTTAAAACCTACAAAAACAAAAATACAAAAACATTATGTTTTACAGAGCAGTTTTTGAAGGGACCTTACAGACCTGTGAACAAACCAGCTGATCTCCTCACAGCAGTTTGACTCTCATCTGTGTGGTGGTCCCAGAGGCACATTAAGTCTTCAACATTGTTTAAATAGATTTTATTAAGTCTCCATTTGATAACAYATGACTGAGTAAACAAAACAAAATGTACAGAGAAATGATTTGTTCATTTTACAAAGATATGCTAAAATAGGAACAGATTAGATGGTCCCCTTAAATAAACGAATCACCTCTGAATTATAGTCATGTTTCAAACCAAGTGTTGCTCTTCTGACTCACCTCCCAATATCGTTCAAAAGAATAATCTCCATGGGACTACTACCTGCTTCCCAGGACATGGACGCAAGAGGAAATGCAACCCCAGACTGATGAGAAGGATGGTAGAAACTAGGCCTGCCATTATTTTTGCAGGACGATAAATTGTCTCAGAAATTTTTGTAATAAATAATTTTGTTTGGAGACTATTTTAACCTAAGCTTAGGGAAGTTGATGAAATTTACACAAAAAAAAGGTTCTGAACTAAACTGGAGAGGAGACTGGGAAAATAAAACAACACAAACAGCTGAAGCTGTAAAATAACTGCACACCTCCTCCATCCAATCGGACATTTAGTTCYGAGTCTTCTTCTGCCTTCATAAAATAACTGTGGTCACCTGCACGCCCTTTTTAAACATGGAGGTTTACCRACTTTACGTAGTGTAAAAAATAACTCTGGATGAACCCAAGGTTTGCCACGGTGCCCTGAGGGTGTCCTGAGGCGTTGCCAGCTGAGAGAAGCTTCCTCTAGCTAAATGCCTGTTCATGGGGCTCTCATGATRACAAATACCAGACACCAGAGTTCACCCTGAACATACTTGTGTCAGTTCTCAGTCATCCAGGACATGACAAATACTAAACTTTTAAAACCAAAGCAAGTGCACTTCTATTCTGTACTAAGAGTTTTGTTGTATGAGATGCTCTAAGGAAAAAAAGCTTTGAATCATCTCAACTTTGATCACACACTTCTGAACAAGCTGCTGTGGAATCAGACATTTTGTGTGACAACCATCACAAAAARCATGCAGATCCTCAAGGGACTGATGATGGTTTAACACGCCGCCCTATTCACTATTACGTACTTAATGAATGAAGACAAGAAACATAACCCACCTTCTCATAATGAGTCTCCATACAGAGAAAGACGGTGTAAGCTGTGAGACATGCAAGGCAGCCTTCAAAAAAYGACTGACTCCCCAGCTTCTCAGCCTCAGCATAAAGGTTGTTCAGCGTACGCACCGTCTCCTCAAACTGCTGTTTGTCCATCTGAAACACAGGAAAAGGGAATACCAATGAGAACCTACAGCCAGGTGGATACTGCATAGTAGAGTGTGTCTGTGTGCAACAGTAAATGGTCCACAATCTATAGCACCACTCATAYACCTACACTATGTTGCCAAAAGTATTGTCTCACCTGCCTTGACTCACATATGAGTTTCAGTGACAGCCCATTACTAATCCATGGGGTTCAATATGACGTTGGTCCACCCTCTGCAACAAGAACAGTTTCAACTCTTCTGAAGGCTGTCCACAAGGTTTAGGAGTGTTTATGGGCATTTTGACCATTCTTCCAGAAGCACCTGTGAGGTCACATACTGATGTTGGACAGAAGGCCTGGCTCTCAGTCTCTGCTCTAATTCATCCCAAAGGTGTTCTATGGGGTTGAGGTCAGGACTCTGTGCAGGCCAGTCCAGTTCATCCACACCAGACTCTGCCATCCATGTCTTTGTGGACCTTGCTTTGTGCACTGGTGCACAGTCATTTGGATGGGTGAGTAAATACTTTTGGCAATCCATTATATAAGCACATTGGGATTTCAGGGATTCTGCATCTTGCCAAAAACACTTGCAGGGGATCAATCTCTGATCCTTCAACTGGAGAATGATCTTCCTACTGAGCCGTGTGAGTGTGGACACATATTTGCTACATCATGGGGACCATTTTCCAGACAGCTTTGTGGGATCCCACCCAACCCAAGGTTTAGGACACTACGTGAATTGAGTTCAGGTTAGCTTTAGGGTAAAGGGTCAGGGTTAGGTTATACAAATTAATGGAAAATCAATGAAAAAAATCAATGCAAGTCCCCTTAAGTATGCAAAGACCAAAATGTATGTGTGCATGCCATATATTTGAGTATCTTAGGAGTTCTTTCCCTTCCCAGATAAATGAGGGAGTGGAGTTATTTCGATGGTTCATGCATCAGTGGATTTCTGGGCCTCCTTCCTGCATTTGGAAACAACTCCTGAAATGATTAGGATGATTCAAATATATGCTTTTTGAATGTTTCCAAATTGGACGCGCGCACGCACGCACACACACACACACACACACACACACACACACACACACACACACA